CCGAGCTGGGGGGGGCCCACCTGCCCTCAGCCCTGAGCCCCTGGGGGGCCGGCTGGCTGGGCGGGGTGGGAACGCCCGCACACCCAGCACATGGCGAGCCAGCCAGGCCCATCTCGGGGCAAACCCAGAACGGACACAGTCCCTTCCCCATGACAGGCTCACACATGGTCCCAGACACAGGCAGACACACGGCAGCCCCAGGAGAGAGACTCCAGCCCCCTCCCCACCCCCATGCCCCTCGGGAAGGAGCAGACAAACAGAAACAGAAACATTCCCAGCAGGTCTGGGAATCCTGGACGGGAGCCACCGCCTGCTGGTCGGACCAGGGCCCCTGCGGGATTGCAGGGGAGGCCCCTGGAGTGACCCAGATACTCTCCATGAGAACAGTGTGGGGGGCCCCGGTGCCAGGCAGCCTGCCCTGTGCAGGAATCCTGGCTCCACCGGTGTGTGTGTGTGTGTGTGTGTGTGTGTGTGTGTGTGTGTGTACACTGTGAACGTGTGTCCATGGATGTGTGTCCATCCCATGTGATGTGAGTGCGTCCATGGATGTGTGTGTCCCCGGTGATGTGAGTGTGTGTGAATCTGTGTGATATGAGTGTGTCCATGGATGTGTGTCCATCCCATGTGATGTGAGTGTGTCCATGGATGTGTGTGCATCCGTGTGATGTGTGTGTCCATGGATGTGTGTGTCCCGTGTGATGTGAGTGTGCCCATGGATGTGTGTGCATCCGTGTGGTGTGTGTCCCGTGTGATGTGTGTCCATGGATGTGTGTCCCGTGTGATGTGAGTGTGTCCATGGATGTGCGTGCATCCGTGTGATGTATGTCCATGAATGTATGTGTCCCGTGTGATGTGTGTGTCCATGGATGTGTGTGTCCCGTGTGATGTGAGTGTGTCCATGGATGTGTGTTCATCTGTGTGATGTGAGTGTGTCCATGGATGTGTGTGTCCCGTGTGATGTGAGCGTGTGTGCCTGCATGAATGCTAATGCCATGTCCTCCTCACTGAGCCACAGCAACTGGGACCAGTTAGACAGTGAGATGAACCTCCCAGGATTGAGGGGCGGAGACCCCGGTCCACAGTGGTTCACGTGCAGGTCAGCCAGCATCGGGGCCACCAGGGCAGCCTGGGTTCCCAGGTCCTTCCTCCCCTATCCTCCCAGCCTCATCCTCAATGGTGGCCTAGTTGGTGCCCAGGGGTCAGAGGGTGGAGGATGGCACAGGGAGCAGTTAATTAACACCCTGGCTGCCCTGCCAATTAGGAGCAGGAAGATTATAATTTGGGGTGGGGGTGAGGCCCCCAGGCTGGGGGCGTGCCCCCCCAGGCTGAGTCTCACTAGCGTCAAAGAGTTAATAGCTCCTGCCTAGAAGCCTCATTAACCAGGGCGGGTCTGGACAATCCGGAAGGGACAGGCCCTCCCTTCACCACCCTGAGTCCTCTGGGCAGATGAGACTCTTCACCCATAGGTGTGGCCCCAGCAGGGACCCTGGCAGAGGCTGACCCCCAGGCAGCACTTTCTGGTCAAAAGACCCTGCTCCTCGCATCACCCAGGCGCCCACCCACCCTGGTCTGTCCCTCTGCTCTGCCTATGTCCCCATCA